CACGTATTAGCGGCATCCTTATTTTTTTTTTTTCCTCTTTTATGGACACACTAATGAAAGTATTTAGGGATTCTCCCAAGTCATTATTACTTTCTTCAATCATTGAAAGTTGAGAACGCTCCCCACCCACACACACACACCAAGCGAGTATAATCGGAGTTTGTCTAACATTTAGGATGAGGGATTCGACCGAATTTTTATGTCCTTCACGTGCTTCCTTCCTATCAGAGAATAGAGCGGTGGGAGTAATTTTAAATATCGAGAAACTAGCTTCAATTGATACTTACCTTGAGGGGAAATAGAGTTTAAATTCCTTCGAACTCTCCAGATTCCCAACTTATTCAAATTCACCAATCTCTATTTTGTAATATTTAACATTAACATTACCTTAAGAACATGTCGTAAAATAAAGAACAATAGGAGTAATTTGTTTATATAATATGTATTCCAGATTAATGAAAAAAATATTTTCGTTGCACCTTTATGTACAAATATGGGTGCAGTCTTCGGTATAAAATAAAAGATTTTTCTTTGTTTTTTCATAATAGCATAACAACATTTATTTAGCAATACTTTCAATTCCACTTTCCAGTTTATAATATCCAGTTAACCAGGTTATACAGATCTAAGATCCAATATACAAATTTCTACCTTATAATGCACCTGGAAATATTACCATCGATCATATTTTGTCCCTCACCAGAGAAAACAACCCCAATGTGTTGTTTTCCCAACAATTGTTTGAATTCCTGACCTGCTGTAGCCTCGAGTTTCTTTGGGAATTTCTTTAATCTATTGATTGATGAGCTTGACTATTACCATGTGTTCCTAAAAAATGCCGGATTTATTGGTGGATTTGCCAACAAACTCACGAGAAATAATTATTAAATGAAATTCCTTTATACTTACAAGCGTCATATTGTGTTTTTCTTCGCATAAAAATCCCTTATCACTATACATCAAAATCCCATTCCACTCCACTAGTGGTTTACCTTCCTGATTATTCATTATTCGATTAGGAAATTTTTTTATAGGCGCCTTGATCTTTTCAGTGGGAGCA